CACACACACACACACACACACTTTATTGAATCTACATGGGGTGAATCAGTGCAAGAATGTTTTTCTGATGGACATTTTGATGCACAAAAGTTTTTAAACTTTGTTGCGTTTTAAGTTTCTAGTAGCACTACTTATTTATAAAGCTCTAATCTCTAATAATAAAATCTTAACTAAATAAACAGGACATCTGCCTTCAGCTGAAATTGAAAATATTGTTTTCTGATTCTAAACACTTTAAAACATCAGTTAGTTACATTAAAAACTAACTAACAATGACCTTTATTCATTTGTCCATTCAAAGGGTTAACCTTTCCCAGGCGAGTTTTTTTTTTTTCTTTTGGCCAATTTATTTTTAACTCCACTGAATAATTTAAAACTTCTGCTTCATCCTGCACTGCTGTGTGATGCTTTCTACTGCAGACATCATTACCTGCAGGTGGATGCTCCTCTTCATACTTTCAAGTGCACATTTTTTTTCTTTTTTTGAAAATGCTGAGGAGTTAGAGGGTTTTTGTCACTGCTTGTGTGACGTTGGTACAGTGTTAGAGAGCCTTTAGACCCACAACGACCGTTAGGGATGTGTGATGTTGCAGGTGGTTGGTGATGATAAGTCGTTGTGGTTCAGCAGACGTTTTGATAAATTTAACCTGGCTAGTGACGTTAGAGGTAAGACGTGTCACTTGTGTTTCAAAAATGGGGAAAAGACATGAACTTATTGTTAGATTGTTATTAAAAAAAAGCATGGATATTGAAAAGCTAAAGAACTGTGATCAAAAATGCGGAAAAGGCCAATTTATTTATTTCTTTAGCATTTCTTTAGCAGTCTTCTAATTTAGACTTAAATGTGACCCGATCAGGCTCAAGTCTGAGCTCCTCAAGCAGTTTATTCCACACGTGAGGCACGTAAAAACTACTGTAAAAGCCGGTTCACCACGCTTGGTTTTGATTTGTGGAGCAGTTAACAACCCTGTGCTTGCTGATCTGAGAGGTCTGGGCGGTTCGGAGTGTGTAAGATGGTCCGTTAAGTACCGAGGAGCTAGGCCATTCAGTGATTTATGGACAAGAAGGAATCATTTGTATTCTGTAAGAAACTACAGTGGGTCAGATTAAGAACTGGAGTTTAATGCTGCAGTTTTTTTTTGTTTTTCTTTTTTTTTTTTGGTCTCTGATACGACTCTTGCAGCTGCATTCTGCACCAGAAGGAGTTGTCGAGGTGTGTTATTTTTTTTGGCACATTTTGGAGAAAGCCATTACAGTAATCCAATATATCCCTTTTTGTTTTATTTCATTAAATGAGGAAAAACTACAGCAGAACTCTCAGGATGTTGCTTTACTGACAGATAATGTGACTAAAATGTGCTCAGTCCTTCAGTTTGTACTTTTTCTCCGCAGAACGCTGTTTACAAAGGGGAGTTCACCGCGACTCACCCAACAGTCAGATTGTTCTGGGAAGTTTTCCACGAGTTCCCTTTGGAAAAGAAGAAGCAGTTCTTATGTAAGTATTTTATTACCTTCCTCAATCTGCATGCCAGTTATTTTTATGAACTTTTTGTCCTCCTGTAATACATCTCAGGTTGTTGCTGCTTTTTGTGAAGAAGCAGAGTAACAACAAATCTACATACCTCTATAACTAAAATCACGTAATATTCAGTCTAGTTTTAAAAAATGTATTTTAGCACTATGAGGAGTTATCAAAAATGTAAAATCACATTATTTATTTAAAAGATATTTATAGTTGTTGATTCATTGTTTATTTTATAACATTTAAAGTGTTAGTGGATTTGTCTATTTATGGCGGTGTTTGTTCTACTTCATCTCCACAAAACTTTTCATTCGTTTATGCAACAAACGTGTTATTTTGTATGGATTTAAATAAAATAAAATAAAATAATCAGATGTAATTTTTCATTGATGAAAAAGAGGTGATTAAGTTCAATTTTAGGACCTTTGTGCTAAAATCTGGATAAATACCGTTTTCTCTGTGTATCCTTAATGGCCTCCCCAGCAGTATTAAACTGCAAACATCAGACGTCTAAAGAACATTTCCTCCCTGCTGTTGTTTTGAAGTCCACCCTCTGTGTCTCTCGGCTGCAGTGTTCCTCACCGGCAGCGATCGTATCCCCATCCACGGCATGGGGAGCCTGCGCATCATCATCCAGTCCACCACGGCCGAGGAGCACTACCTGCCTGTGGCCCACACCTGCTACAACCTCCTCGACATGCCCCGCTACCAGACCAAAGAGATCCTGCGGCGCCGCCTCACCCAGGCTGTGGAGCAGTATGAGGGCTTCAGCCTGGTGTGAGCCCGGTCCCAAAGGAGCTCCAGTGCACTTTAACAGCAATACCCCCCCCCTCCCCCGCCCGGTGTGAGTGTCAAAAGACTGCAAGTGGCTTTAGACTGGACACGGGAAAGTCACGTTTAAATCTAAAGGCCTGTGTGTTCAAATTCAGATGGTGTTTATTTGTTTTTTTTTTTTTTTAACTGTTCAAGTGTGTTCGAAGGATTTGAACAGCTGATATATGAATATTATAAAATATATCATTGTATTAAAACGTTAAAGAATGCTTTCTGAAATTTGCATGACGACTTGGGGTCTGAGTTGAATCAGAAACGTTCGAGAAACTCTGACTTCTGGGTGTTTGCGTCGTCTGGTTTTTGCCGCCTTTATTGGGTCCTTTTTTCTTTTTTTCTTTTTTTGCAAAGCTGTGTATTTTCTATTCCTTAAATTCTATTTTTCACCTTTTTTAAAGGTTTGTGTTCCTACCCCGATACGTTACGTCGCATCTGGTTATTTTTAATTTATTAAATAGAGTGTTTTATATTTTGACAAATAAACACGTATACGTGTGTAAATAGAACCTTGAATATAATCTCTCGCTCTGACGGTGGGAGAGATGTTAAGTCGTGCTGATAACTTTTAAACCTTGACATTTGTTTTCTTTTTAAAACCTAATAAATATAAAAGCACCGGTTAGTTTTTGTCGGTGGAAGAAGACTTCAGGCCAACACATACGGACCATCATTTGCGGTTGCTCATTCCTGTTTAACTGTGGATGATAAAGCAGCTCTTTAGCCCAACAGTGTTGCCTTCTACAGTCAAACCTGCTGTACGCACCTGAAGTCAGCTTTTACTGGATGTTCTGTGCGCATGTTGTGGGGTGAAAGCAAAAACAAGACTGGCTTTTCTTATGTTTTTTTCTTTCTTTGGAAGGTAATTATATTGATTTCCTTTTGTTGCAGAGATTTAGACAGATCAAACCTGTTCCTGTCAGGTGAATATCGGGCTACTGCTAACAAACTGAAACCTGGAGCAAGCGATGCACAACTCCTCCCAGATCCAATTACCAGTTTATAATTTATTAGGCACTTGGGTCGTGTGCCTTCATTATTTATTAGCATCATCAGGCATGAGGCCCAATTTTGTTTGTGGAGGAAATTAGTACAAGTGACCGAACAACCATAATAGGAATGAGAAATAGCACAGTGTTAGATTACATCGGCTTCTTTCTTGCTGCATCCAGTTTTTCCATTGAGAATCAGCTAATACATTTCTATGTTCAAGTTGGAATTTTAAAAACCTGCTACAACTTTAAAAGTTGGATTTTGGGTTTGGAAATGTGCGTAAAAAGAACTTGCCAAGCCTCAAAGTCCATCAAGCTGCTAGCTCCAGAGTTAATGCTTGTTTGTTTTGCTCTTATTTCACTTTGAGTTTTTCAAGCTGAGAAAACCTGCAAGAAAAAGCCATTGTTAAATTGATAACCTTTTAGCGTTGCGGTTTGCTCCAGTTTCCACTCGCTTTGTTTAGCTGCCTAGCTTTGTGTCTGTCTGAAAGGCTGAAGGTAATGGTTTCGATGTTTTCAAGTGAGTTTCTGTGGAAAGGTTATTAACAATTAATATCTGAAATGTTCTAGTTAGATCTTTGAAACAACGTCAGTTTGGAGAAAAAGTTTATTTCTGGCCAAAACTGTTTTATAACCCTTTACACCACGATCAATTTTGCCTTTATGTAGAAATCTATGATTATGGCTAGAAGTGGCTGTAGCACTTGTAGCAGGAGTATAATTATTCACTTGTACTGTGAAGAAAATCCAGAAATCCACTTTGGGTCAGCTCAGAGTAGCCGTTAGCTCATCGGTCCGGTTAAAATTTAGCTCTTGTTTCTTCAGTTCTATTCTGTTTCCCATTTAAAGAGTCTTCTACAGCAGGTAAGATATTTATTGGTCATAACCTTTCCACAGAGCTCCCACTTCAAAAGATCTGACCCATCCTTTTAACACTCCACAAAGAAATGAGAAAAATTCTGTCCTGAAAATGTCATTGAGCAAAACATGTTGAAGCATAAACGTCAGTAATTGTAATTATTATTGCAGATTAGATGCTAATTAATCTTTTATATTTGAATAAATGCATATTTTAACAGTGTGGACAAATTAAATAGCTTAAATTATAACTAGATAAGCTATAATCGTAATACTTGTTCCAGAATTTGCCCTGCTGTATTAATCCTGAAGACTACAGAATAGTGGTTGTGAAATGGTGTGAGTTGTGTGAAGTTGTTTTTGCATATACGTCTGATACGATACCAGGAGTTAAAGTGAGTCAATCTATTCAGCAATAACAACCTAAATAAACCCAGTATTGTAGAAAAAAAACACCACCTGGGTTAAACTTAGAAACATCTTACATGCTGGACTCCTCTGAGGACACTCCATCATGTTGCTTGGCTGAATACTGCATGAAGTACACACACACACTGTGTCACACAACATTCAACATTTATCAGTGCTTATTTCTCCATGTGAGGCTGATTTTCTCCCACAGAGTTTAGTCCTATGCAAAGGTTTGTGCAGCCCTTATTTGCACCTTTTAATGTGCTACAGAGGATGTGATTTATTTATTTATTTTTTTTTGTTTTTGCATATTTGTCTGGAATATACACAAAGCTCTCTGTTCCAGCCAAGGTTTGAAATAAAATAAATTTGAAAAAAAAAGTGTTCTAGTTTGTTTATGACCTTCTGTGTGTATTGCATTCTTTCACCAGACTTTATGTTTTGGATACATTTTTCACAAAATATCTCTGTCTGTTTCCTGCAGCGCCCCTCCCCCCACTTCTGGAACAACCCAGGTTTCTCTGGGTATCTCCATCAGCCTCATCAAATCTCTGGTAAACTCCAGAATCTTCATCTAACACCACGCAAATAAAAGTCTTAATAAAGCTTTTCATCTGATTAATTACTTGTACACACTGAAAACTAAACTCATTTTTCAAAAAACCAAGAATGATTGACTGAGGGTTTGTTTTGCACAATATATATATTTATATATATAAAAGATTTGACCAATCCATTTCTTACATATATTTTAATAATCAAGCTTTATTGTTTTAGTAGTTTTATATTGCTAAATAATTCTTAGTCTTCAGGAACAACAAACAGCAGTGTGCAGTGTTTGTTATTTTGTGAATGCTTCTAATATGTTTTTCGGCATGTATTTCGTTCTGCAATGTTTGTGCTATTTCAACAATTAAGTTAAAACGTTCAGCTCTTTTAGGACATTATGACTATGACTTCAGGTACTGTATTTCAGCAAAGCATACATTTTAAAAAATATAAAAAAATTCTGCCATGTTTTTTTCTCGTTAATGATTGGAGCTGTTTTCAACAACCTTAAAGCCTTTCAAAACAGTTGTACATCTTTACTGTATTTCTTACTTTTTGTTCTGGTTCTGCAAATTTTATTTTGTACTTTGAGCTAATTTCTGCTTCCTTCAGCTACTATTTTGCTGATTTTACCTTTATTCTGATTTTTTTACCTATCATTTTTAAAATTTTCTGCAGTTCTTTTGCTATTTTAAACTTTTTTGTGCTTCTTTCTACTTCTTTCTGTTATTTTAATTATTGCTATTTTAGCTACTTGTTAGCTAATTTGGGCTTTTTCACTATATTCCCCTTTTTTGTGAAAATTATGACTGCTCAATGCGTAATTCAACAAACATACTTTTTCTGTTTCTTTGTTCTAATTACAGCTGTTACAGCTACTTTTTATATTTTAATGCTAGTTTCAGCGTTTTTAGCTATTAAACAAAAGCATTCCCATTGCATTTTTGCAGGAAATGCAAAATCTCTAGTTATTTTGTTTTTGTCTCATCCAGTCCTTTCAGTATCAATCAGTCAAGACCAGATTGCCATCCTGTTCGTCTGGTTTGGTCAAAATGTTAGTGTCTCTTTAAAAG